GACGGTCTGTGCTTTGCTCTTCTCTGCACTCGCATGTCGTGGATTCCACTTTGTAGCTCCATTTCTTAAGGTTGGCTCTGCATCACGTGGTGCCAGAGCTCAGTCTGCTCAGTGCCTTCCAAGTCGTGAAGAGAGTTTCTCATTTGGTATCAGCCACTGATTGAGGTTCCGGGTTTTAGCCTTCCACTTCTGGACTCACACTTGCTTAAGTGTAGATCAGAGAAAGCTGTTTCTTGATTTAAGTTGTTGGCATCCTGGCTGATATCCGAACAGAGGATGGCTCGGAGATGTCAATGCCTTGGTCCTTTCATTACTGGCTGCTGCTTCTCAATGGATATTGGGTGGTGCAATACCGGCTAAATAGTATATTTTCTGCAGTGGTGTAGAACATAGACATCCTGTGATGATGAGGAATGCCTCATTAAGAGCCACATCCACTGTTTTAATGTGGTGAGATGTATTCCACACTGGGTATGCCACTCAGCAGCAGAGTTACAAAGCGCAAGGGCAGATGTCTTCACTGTGTCTGGTTGTGATCCTTAGGTTGTGCCAGTCAGCTTTTGTATGATATTATTTCTAGCACCCAGTTTTTGCTTGATAGTCTTATAAGTTAGAGCACACTCCAGAGTAACTCCCAGGTATTGTGGTGTGCTGTAATATCCCAGTGGAATTCCTTCCCAAGTAATCCTCAGCTCGAGGTGCTTGTCTGTTATTACTGCTGCTATTGAAAGCACCAGTTGGTTTAATATATCCACCATGTGCTCCTTATTCAGATCAGTGATGGTGAAATTCAGAAGTGTTTTCAAATGCTGAATAAATACTATTTTCCCCATTTTATTTTTTTTATTAATTTTTGTGTTATAATACAGTAGAGTCTTGCTTATCCAACTTTCTCTCACCCAACATTCTGTATTATCTAATGCTGTCTGCCTCTCACCTAGATACACAGCTGTTTAAATATATTGCAATGTTTTGGTGCTAAATTCGTAAATACAGTAATTACTACTGTATTGAACTGCTTTTTTTTCTGTCGATTCATTGTAAAACATGATGTTTTGGTGCTTAATTTGTAAAATCATAACGTAATTTGACGTTTAATAGGCTTTTAAAAATCTCTCCTTATTATCCAACATTTTTTATTATCCAACGTTCTGCCAGCCTGTTTCTGTTGGATAAGCGAGACTCTACTGTATATTATGCAACAAAGTTAATTCATTAGGTTAGGATGACTTTGCATTTCTGTAAAAAGGATTAGAGGCAATAGCATATAGCATATAGCATCCGGCTTTGATAAGATCAGGACTAGTTTGAGAGGAATTCTGTCATGTATTTAGTGCCTTGGGTTCATTGAAAGAAAGCAATGTAATAAACATAACTACAAAATTAATCATAATAGAACAGACCTTGGTTGTTTCTGGGAATTCTGAGGCACATCTTACTGTGCCAAACGTGTCGCTGGAAGCCCTCAGAATGATTGTATACCTTGGAAAGCACACAACACATCTTCCTGTAAGGTGTGCGGTGCAGAATGAGCTTTCCAAGGGATGCATTAGCGGAGCTGCCTATGCCAAGCTTAGAGTGTACCATTAAGTTTGTTTGTAGCAAACCTTTTATTTATAAATGGAATGCTGTCCCATGGCCGGTGAGCTTTTTAGGCCTGAATCTTCAGTTCCTGTTTGTGTTATGCTCGCTTTCATTGACCTTTATGGGTGGTACCTACATGCATGCTGCCTTTACTTCACAGAAAAGGTTGAATGAGTAAAATCCAATTGATTGTGTTGTTGAAGGCTTTCATGGCTGGAACGACTGGGTTGCTGTGAGTTTTCTGGGCTGTATGGCCATGTTCCAGAAGCATTCTCTCCTGACATTTCACCCACTTGTATGGCAGGCATCCTCAGAGGTTGTGAGGTCTGTTAGAAACTAGGCAAGCAAGGTTTATATATCTGTAGATTGTCCAGAACTCTTGCCTGTTGGAGGCAAGTGTGAATGTTGCAATTGGCCACCTTAATTAGCATTGAATGCCCTTGCAGCTTCAAAGCCTGGCTGGTTGCTGCCTGGGGAATCCTTTGTTGGGAGGTGTTAACTGTCCCCAATTGATACTTGTCGGGAATTCCCCTGCTTTTTTAGTGTTGCTCTTTATTTACTGTCCTGATTTCAGAATTTTTTAAAATAGTGGCGATCAAATTACTTCATTGTCATAGTTTCCTCCTTTCTGCAGAAATTGTCCATATGCTTCTGGATTTCCATGGCATCTCTGTGTAGTCTGACATGGTGCCTGTTCTCTGTGTATTGTTTTGCTGGTGCAAAGATATCTTATGGACAAGTCAAATTTCTTCAGGGGGGATTTTTCTACTAGGGCCACTCTGACCATTAGGCAGAGAGAGTCAGGCTCTTGAAGAAGATACTGGGACACAATAGCAAGGTGTTGGTAGAGAGAAGCATATCTAAGGGCCAGGTCTACAACCACCCCTGCCTTTCCCCCCACTTTCCAAAGGGAGCCTACTGCCTTCTCATGGCATGGAAGATGTTTTCCTACTACATGCAGAGTGAGCTGCCAATCTAGGTTTCCTACATGGAATGAGAAAGGAGTGCCATCTGGCTCTTGGGCTCGGCCAGTATGTCTTTAGCCAGCCCTATGATTCTTTCATAGGACCTCATGGGGATATACAATAGATCCAATTTAAAGCACCAGCTATTTGCTTCAGCGATTAGACACAGTGGAGAGCCCTTCCTGCAGCCTTCAATTTGTGGGCAGCTTTATATAGGAAGAGATGCTCTGTCAAAGTATCGAGGCCCCTAGATATGTAGGTCTTAAGTTATAATTGGCTTGGAAAGGACCTTTGTCTAAAACCCCAAACACCTGTTGAAAGTCAGTGCAACCAACAATAGCAAAAGGTAAGACTTGACATAAGGTAGCATCCTGAAGTGCCTCTCCCTTTAAATGAATACTAAACACACTCAGGATGTGTTCTCTATATTTATCACTAGTTAGGTTAAAGACCAGTTGTTTGTGGGTGGGTATATTTTCTTTGCAATAGGCATAATTTCTGAATAACACCCATTTGCTAGACAGCTCTAATGAAAGCAGTAGATCACTGTCAAGCAATTGGATTCTAGACAAGAAACAGATTGGCTTGAACAAATAAAGAAGGAATAAACATTGCCAAGAACTTGAACTTAGCAGGCTTTTTCACACAGTGGATGGGCTGGAATGAATAAGAATTGCACCAATTCCAAAGAGATAGCTGTTGGGTTTTTCTTTCCATATGATGTATAGATCTGGAACTTTCCTACTACACTATGCAGCAGGCATAGGTAAACTTTAGCCTTCCAGGTGTTTTGGACTTCAACTCCCACAATTTCTAACAACCTATCAGCTGTTATGAATTGTGGGAGTTGAAATCCAAAACACCTGGAAGGCTGAAGTTTACCCATGTCTGCTATACAGTGCGACAGAGCTTTTAACTCAAATGCTCTTATCTCAAAGTGAATTTTCCCATTGAAATACTGTTAATTCATTCTGGCCCAGACCCCCCCCCCCCCTTCCATTTTTTGTTATGTGTTTTTAAATTAGAAAATGCCCTTTATAAATAACAAATAATGTATAAATGCACATTTACATGGATCAATAAAAAAGAAACATAAACCTTAAAATGGTAGAAGCCCAAAGTTGTGGCGAGGAAGCACATGTGAGGCAACAAAATGTGTGTGGCTAGTTTAACAGTAAGGCAAAACCTGAAACAATAAAAAGATCAATTTTAAAATGGTAGGAGCACAAAGTTGTGGCAAGAAAGCCCAAAGTGAAGAGGCAGAACCATCATTTTCTTCATACTGTGCTCACTCCAGCACCCCTCTGATGCTCTCTCTCTATATGAAGCCAAACATACCAGGAATAAAAACCACACAAAATCATCTAAGCCTAATTTCCTCAAAGCGTACAAGAACAAAGTGGACAGCAATCTTCCGAAGTGGACAAGAGCAAAGCAGTCTTGTATTGGGGCAGAGATGACAGCTGGAGGGCAGGCCCGTAGCCAGGATTTTGTTTCGGGGGGGGGGGGGGGGGCTGAGTCTGAGTGAAAGAGGGTCTACCCTAGCAAACCTTTTGTATCGTTACCCCAATACCCCCATGCATATGGGATATATTGAGCATGGTGATCAGATCATGATATGAATAAACATAACAGTTTAAATAATGTACCAGTAAGGCCTTCTCGCGGACCACCATCAGAATTTGGGGGGGGGGGGGCTCAAGCCCCCCAAGCCCCCCCCCCCCGGCTACATAAGATCCCTCTAATCTTAGAGGGACCTCATCATAAAGGCTGCCAGAATTGCCACACATTGTGGCAATTCCAGTAGAGCATGTTGGGAACCCATCAGCCCACGCCCCAGCCTGCCCGACTCACCCAGCTGAGCATCACACGGGGGGAAGCGTCAACCGTCCAGCTTCCCCCCCCCCCCCCCATTGTTCCTAGCAGAACACTGGAAGTTTCCTGTGTTGCCACAGTGGCAACATGCTCTACTTTGCTGCCCATTTAAACACGAACCTCCGTTGGGAGTAGTTGTGCATTGTGTAATGGGAGCCAGCGGGCTCCGTGCTTAAAGGGGCAAATGGAATGAAACATGCCACCAATTTGTCCCCCGTCTGATGAGGTCATAGTACTAGTCCTTGCCTTGACTATTGAAAGGAGCCTTTTTCTAAATCCAGGATGGATGGGTGGAGATTTTCCCCAATAGTTGCATTCTGGATTTGTTTCAAATAAACAATAAATAAACAACAAGGACAAGTACAACCTTCCCTCCTCCCCAAATTTTTGTAGGCCCACTCAGGCATAAAGAACAAAAGGTACTGTATAATGAATTTCTCATGGATCACTCTGCATGGCTGGCCAGTTCTGCAGGTCAGCTATAAATAACCACTTCAGTATAGAATGGTTTGCTTGTGTCTATTTTTGCATGTCATCTTTATTTTTAATGTAGCACATTTCATCCCTTATTTGCAGAATGAATGAAGACAGCTCAGCCAAAACATTTACAGAGAAGACGAGCAGCCCAGTTTGTGTCGGAACAGAAGATGATCTGAAAAAACAACGAAAAACCATGGTTACTGTCCATGGCAGAGAGGTTGTTGTTTTCTGTCACGCTGGAAGGTTTTATGCTATGGACTGCCGTTGTTATCGTAAGAATTTTTTGCAGAATATACATTTTGATCTCCAGCAAAGGATATTTTGATATTTGTGAAACAATGTTGGGTTTAGCAAAACTAAATAAGAACATAAATAAGAACAGCCCTTCTGGATTTGGAGTAAAGACTGTATCTGGCTCAGTATTCCATTCCCACAGTAGCCAACTATTTTCTCAGTCAAAACTCATAAGAAAAATGAAATCAGCAGTACCCTCCCACTTGCATTCCTTAGTCATGTCAATTGAGAATTGTTCTGCTTCTATTAGTGCTAGCGCCATCATGACTATTGTAATTTCATTTTTTTCTCCCTTTTATTAGATGCAGGAGGTCCTTTACATCTTGGAGAAATAGAGGTATGTAAATACAGTACATCCTTACTTGAATGGCATCCAAAATCTTCAGATAAACCAAGAGTACTATTTATGTAAAAATATAATGACACAGAAACCTGCATGGTCATTTAGTGCATTTTATGAAGCTACATTCTAAATATTAAATAACCAGCTGGCTGTTTTGTCTTTGGATTTTATCACAAGAGGAAGGTGGGTCACAACTATAGCAGGATATTTAGCACATTGTATCATTCCTCTTCTGTAGCTGTTTTATTTATTTATTGTATCAGGCGCAAACCAAGGGTACAGTTGTAATGTATTTAAAAAACAATTAAAAACCCCACAAAATTTGAAAACTTGGCATTATATTAAATGTCCTTTGACCAGAAGCTGGCCTTTTGGAGCGCCTCTGTTGTTGCTGTAAGAAGGTCCTCCATTGTGCATGTAGCAGGGCTCAGACTGCATTGTAGTAAGTAGTCTGTGGTTTGCTCTTCTCCACACTTGCCTGTCATAGACTCCACGTTCTAGCCCCGTTTCTTAAGGTTGGCTCTGCATCTTGTGGTACCAGAGCGCAGTCTGTCCAGTGCCTACCAAGTTACCTGTGTGCCCAGCGGGGAGTCTCTCATTTGGTATCAGCCATGGCTTGAGGTTCTGGTTATTAGTCAACCACTTTTGGACTCTCAGTTGCTGAGGTGTTCCTGCAAGTGTCTGTAGCTGTTGAAAGTTGTTTCTGTTACAAAAGATCCTTAATGGATTATTTGTGTTTGTAAAAGACACGCTTTCCAGACATGGCAAGAAAGGAGCAACATCATATGATTAGTCCCAAACAATGATGCTGTTGTCCTGATGTAATTGCGACTGGGCTATCTCATTTTCAGAGGTTTAGCCTTTTGCTTTTTACTGAAAACTGGAAACATAGGTATCTTGTTGTGAATTAGAGCCCTAAGAGAGGTGGGGTTTTAATATTTCCGGTCTCCTCTAATCCAGATCAGCCCCCACTTTAACTTCCGTTGCCCAAAAGTGTGCCAAATTAGGGGATACAAGCAACAGAAGGCAACTAAGGTTTAAAACCTTCCTGTTCCACTCACCTTGTATACTAATGTCCCACTCAGGGTTACTTACTCTTTATTTAGATTTCAGTGAAAAAAGAAAATTAGGGCATCCAGATAGGACCCAAAACGCATGCCCTCCCACATTTTCAAGTGGGGCATCTAAACGATGCCCCATGTAAAAATAAATTATTTTGGGACAAAGCAGGAAAACCTTGTTTTGTGCCGAAGTAATTTGTCAGCTGGAAAGACCTGGATCTTCCTGAAAGGCCTCAGTGCTGAGTGCGGAAGACCAGGCCACAGCCCAGCCTAGCAGTGGCATCAACGGCACCCAAGGGACCTCCAAGGAAGAGGAGGAGGAAGAGGATGAGGAGGAGGGGGAGCCTCAGAGCAATCCTCTCTGAGGAAGGAGCGGGGAGCAGAGGAGGCGGTGAGGAGGAGGAGGCCGCTGGCGAGTGGCAATAAGTGAACTGTGAAGTTGCGAGGGAACACTCTACTCTCCATTGAGGAAGTTGGAAACATTCCTAACGATTTATGATGGGCACCGACAGGAAGTCTCCCTGCTTTGCGGGAAGGGCTCTGTGATATGTCATTATATCTCTGTTTTCAAAGTATCTAGAAAGGGGGTGGGGCAGCATGGGAGGACATCCTTATTTTTTCACTCATCTTTTGACTTTTTGTGGATTTGATCATTCATGTATTTGATTAAAGAGATCCTCCAGTTGCCCTATGGCCAACTTTCTTTTTGGACAGTTTCCAGTGGAAGTTAACCATAAAACCATGCCAGAAGACTTAGAAATTCATAGACAGTATTATCTCAGGAGAAAAATAGCTATTTGTTTATTTGTAACTTTTTGCTTTAGTGACAGTTGATCACAACAAATGTATAGGGCTGACAAAATCACTGAATGAAATGGTAGTTAGGAAGGTGAATACTGTTTCCATAATGAAAGGTATGAAGAAAAGGTTGAACTACATGTAGATTAGCCAAATGTTCCATCATCACTTTAGCTATTCTTCCACCGCAGTAACAGATCAGAAGATCTCCTTGCCATTTTTTCATTTAAGTTTGTTGACGCCTTACGCTTTGTACAATGCAAATTTGAGGGAATGATTAATCAGTTATTCATTTAATTGATAAATTAATTACTAGAGACATGGGTCCCTTTTGTAAATAGAAACCTTAGTGGAGGAGGAAAGGGCTGTTTGGAATTCCACTGGTATATGCCCCTCCCCCACATAAACCAGTTTATTTATTTATTTATTTATTTATTTCCCTGTATTTGTATACTGCCCTTCTCAGACCGCAGGTTACTCAGGGCGGTTTACAATGGCAATGATTCGTTGCCCAAAAACACCATAAAACATTTAAAAACATTAACACATAATATAAAACCATAACAAGAATATTAATACATAGATCATTTGCGTCTCTTAATAAAAAACATTGTCCCATCTCGTCGTCCAGTTGTTCCAATCCCTATGTCTTTTACCTTGCATTTTCAAACACTTGCTCAAACAACCAAGTCTTGACTCTTTTCCGAAATGTTAAGAGGGAGGGGGGCGATCTAATGTCCCCAGGAAGGGTATTCCATAGCCGAGGGGCACCACTGAGAAGGCCCTGTTTCTCATCCCCACCAAATGTGTTTGTGACGCAAGCGGGATTGAGAGCAGGGCTTCCCCGGATGATCTTAAAGTCCTAGCAGGTTCATAAGGGAAGATGCATTCAGCCAGGTAAGTTGGGCCAGAACCGTTTAGGGCTTTATAGGCTAAAGCCAGCACTTTGAATCATGCCTGGTAGCAGACCGGCAGCTAGTGGGTAGTAATTTCTTTTCTTCTTCCTTTTTCCCTTCTCCATGTATAAATATAGGATATCAATGGACAGGCATGCATTGTTTGTCCCTGGCACAAGTACAAAATAACTTTGGCTACTGGTGAAGGACTGTATCAAGCAGTAAACCCGAGAGAGCCGTCTTCATCTCCAAAATGGCGATCAAAAGGAGTAAAGCAAAGGACTCATAGTGTTGCTGTTGAGGGTGGAAATGTTTATGTAACTCTTTCAGATTTAGACTGTCGCAAAGAGTCTGATTATTATGCAGACAAGTTTAATAAGAGGATAAATTATCCTGTGAAAAAGTGATGTCTTCTGTTTTTCTTAATAAGTTGTGTTTAAATAAAACGGCCTTAATAAATTATATTAAATAAATAAATAAATAAATTATATTAAATAAATTATATTATATTAAAAGGGGAAGAAGTTTCGAGGATGATATGATATTAAGTTGATAAGATTATAAACAAACCTCTAGCCTTTCTCAAAAGTGAGAAAACAAAGATGTATTGATGTCTTCGCCAAGAAAAGATCAGTAGAGTATGTATGTAGGAAGTATGCAAAATGTTGATTTTTTTTACATTGATACAATTAAAGCTTTAAACTCTCATGTTCAAATGCCACTCTCTAAATCTTTAAAAAAGCTTTTAGAAAGTATTGCGGTGCTAAAGTGTTAGTGTAATTTCAGATGCTATTTTTGCATGATAATTGTATCATATTTTTTATAATTGGGAAGACTTTGTCTCTCCTTAGAGAATTGCTCCATCTCTCTTGAAAAATGAGATGTGTGAAATCTGCGTGTCTTATGGCTGAATACTGTAATAATAAATATTCAAGAGGTGCGAATGTGTTGGTGTGTGCGATGAAGTGTGAACATGTGGGTGGTGCAGTAAACTAATGAGCGATCCAGAGAGTGTATTCTGGAAAGAAGTGGAGTGCCTTACCAAAGTATGGAAAGGAAAAGTTCAAAAAAGGATATCACTTGTCCCTTTTTGTTTTTTGGCATATGCCTCCTGCTAACCTTCTGTTTCGTATTTCCCATGTGATGCACAAGGTTTTGACAAACTGCTATTTTTCACATGCTTATGCTTGCCTTAAATAAATGGGCCAAATTATCTATTTATGAATGGATTCCAGGCATCCACATTGCCATGGGAAGTATAGGTGTTTTAACTCTTAGCTTATCTGTTTTGCTTCTGTCTTCATATATATTGTAATTGACCACTTGAGCAAGTCTGGAGGTCAAATCTGCATTGCTAGCATCTGCTGTAGATTGTACTGTACTAAAAATGCCTTCACCAACATTTTTGCAAACTGATCAAAACCGGACCAGGCAGCCACTTCCAGGTTTGAATTCTGTATGAGGTCAGACTCAGTTGTGGTAGCCAGTTGTGGCAAAATGCCCCAGTTTCTACTTCAGGAGACTACCAAGAGTGCCCAATCACCATTCACCCACAATGTTTTCTCCAGATGCTGCAGGGAAATTGGGACAGCTATTAAGGCTTGTAAAACTTTTCTAGAAGGGTGATAAAACTCTACAGAAGAGCTGTAGAGTTGTTGCCCTCCCACTGGGCATTATTTCCTCTGTTCCTTGCATACACTATAACATCTTTCTTTGCCAACCATTGGTCCATAAATGGTGCCACTACTACAGTATTTGGTGGTTCACTTTGATGTAGTTGGCAGTACAAATACCTAGTAGCTCCTGAAACAGATGTGGAGATGCTGTGGGATGGTGGATCAATGTGCCTATTAAAAAGAGCTTTGAACCCCATGAGGAGCAGCTCAGAGAGCTGGATATGTTTAGTCTGGAAAAGAGAAGGTTAAGAAATGATGTGTTTAAATACTGGAAAGGACTTCACATTGAGGAGAGGGCAAGCTTGTTTTCTGCTGCTCTAGAGACCAGGACACAGAGCAATGCATTCAAATATTTATTTACAGTTTGTTTACAGTATTTATATTCCACCTTCTCACCCCAAAGGGGACTCATAGCGGATCAGAGAACACATATACAGCAAACATTCAATGCCAATTATACAACAGCAGGATGGACAGGCAGATAGGCTTTCCCAACTTCAGCTTCTTTGAGTGCTTGGTTCCAGCTATGGGGGTGCTGTTGCTCCATCTTCCCTGCCAAGAGGTGGTAAACTTGCTCCTTTTATATTGCCTCCCTGCTCTTAATGCGGTACCTATTGATCTACTTACATTACTGTTTTTGATCTGCTAGGTAGGCAGTGAGCGGGGCTGAATGGTCAAGCACTCGCCCTGACCCAGGCTTTGAACTGTCAACTTTTCAGTTGGCAAGATTTACTGCAGCTTGGCGGTTAACTTAATACGCTAAAGCCCAACCCAGAAGGAAAAGAGATTCTCCACAAACATTAGGAAGAATTTCCTGATGATAAGAGCTGGTTTAACAGTGGAATATGTTACCTCAGAGTATTGTTGAGTCTCCTTTTCTGAGGGTTTTTAAGCATCTTTTGGGAGTGCTTGGATTGTATTCTCCTGCATAGCAAGGGGTTGGACTGGATGGCCACTTTAGTCTCTTCTAACTATGATTCTAACATTTACATTGGCACAATACAGAGAAGTTTGCAGCAGTAACCACATGGGCTCTGTAACATTTAATCGGGTTGTGCAGTTCTGCTAAATAAGAAAATCTGTCCTTTTCAGCCTGTGAACAGAGCCCTTTTCTTTTATTAGTCAGAATCTGTGTACAGGAAAGAGTTCACAGGCAACAAAGACCCTTTTACACAGTAGCTTTGCATAAGCTTGGCACCCGCTGTTGTGTAGGTGTGGCTTTTAAGAGCCATATGCCCTTTATACATCGTATGTGGCTAGCTGACAGACAAATACAATTCAATACCAGGAACAAAAACACCCAAATTGACCCAGACATCTGCACTGCCCTTTGTTTCATGACCTCTCTTTGACCTTATACATTCTGGAATTGCATTCAAGAGTATCTGAGTTTTGCTTTTAAGTCAAGTCTATGCCACAAACTAGTAAAATAATATATGTATCCAAAAGAGTGAGCTAAGATGAAAAAGACTGCAAAGTCTCCTTGGCAGAGCCAGCCAGAATAGCCTATAAGTTTATTAAGGAAAGAAATACATGAAGCATATCCTACTACAAATCCATAATGACCTTGTGATGATCGGCAGCTGCTTAAAATATTCGTTATTCTTTGTCTTTTAACTCTGCTTTTTTTTTACTTGATCTGACAGAAATGTGTGGATTTAGTTAAACCTTGCAGAAAAGTTTGCTTTTCTTACATATATGCCGGACTATTTTTTTAAAAATTAAAACATCCTACTGTTAAACTGGGTTTCACTGTTCTACCACTTTTCTGTGTTTTCAGAGTCAATTTGGTTTTTTTTTAAAGTGCATTACATGAAACATGCCATTGTTTCTTTCCAATAGGCATGAATATTTACACACTAAGCTTTCTTTTCAGACTGAGGATTGCTTGTGTATATATAAACTTTACATTTGCTAAATGGAAATGAGAAATTTTTCCACATTCGTTTTTAAAATTAAATACAGTAGGGTCTCACTTATCTGACATAAAAGGGCTGGAAGAACATTGGATAAACAAAAATGTTGGATAATACGGAGTCTCCTACTGTCACCCATCTGACATAGCACTAGACACCTAGAATACTAAAAACAGGGACTCAAAAGGTTAAGGCAAAGCAATGCCTCAGGACTAGAGCAACCCAGCAGGAAGTGCCCGGATGCAGAAGAGGAGCGTGGAAATCACAGAAGGAAGTAAGGAGGGCGCTTCTGCTTCCCTTCCTGCCTCTTTCCAGCCCTTTCCTCCCTCCTCCTCCTCCTTGTCTTGACTTTTTCACTTATTTGGGATGGAGAGAGAGTTGGGGAGTGCTCCTTTAATTGAAAGGGAAATGCTGGAAGAAAGGGGGGGGGTCAGATAAGAGAGAATGCTGGATAAGCGAAGGTTGGATAAGCAAGCTGCTACTGTGAAATAAAATAGTTGAAGTACACAAGGATGATATTCCAGTGTAAAAAGCAGGGGGAAAAACCCAAAAGAGGATAACCAACATTAGTGGTGTTTCTTACAAGCTAACCAAATATCAATTTGTAAGTTTCATCTGAATATCATTCTTTTCAAATGTTACCTGCCTTATTTCATTGAATCATAGGTGGAGGTAAGTGTTGTTTTTTTCAATATCTTTTAGCAGTCAAAAGGGCATGTAAAATCATTTCCTTCGGGCCTTTCTTAGTTTCTATAGTAAGTAATTCAAAAGGACATCCATATCTCTAAATCTTCAAAGATTTAAAAGTTGATCCACTTACACCCAAAATGAGTCAGCTGCAGGATAGTTCCAAAATGTGTCTTCAAGAATTATATGGTGTTATATTTCCAGCAGTTATCTGATTTAGATAGCCCTTTCTTTAAAACAGTGGTTCCCAACTTTTTTTTTTACCAGCTAGCACTTGACCAGGGACCATTTTCCAACATTAGTACCAAAAGGGTTACGAATCAGTTTTTGGTCAACTTTAGATTTGGTGTGGTCATTTGGGGTGCTGATTCAGAAAATTGCATTGGATAGAGCACATCAGCTCTAGTTTCTGATACAGAACATATGCCATCTAGTAGTTGCCATCTGCTCGCCCACAGAAAACCATATTTAATAAGCCTCAGCACTATAAGAGGGTTTCAAGAGACCAATCACTCTAGTTGCAACGGTGTAGCAACAGTGAGACCGCAGACCATATTTTAGTTCATGCAGACCACTGGTGGTCCATGGACCACATGTTGGGAACCAGTGCTTTAAAAGATGCTGTGGTCCCATCTACACTGCCATATAATACAGTTTCAGACTGCATTGTATGGTCAGTGTAGACAAATATTTGCAATTCAATGCAGTTAAATTGCATTATATGAGTCTAAACTGACCATATAATGCAGTTTATTGCATCATACAACAGTGTAGACAGGGCCAATATACCCGAAACAGCAATTTTTGCAGTATGAGACGCAATCAAAGTCCACTAACCAAACAAGATAGGTTCTGTACCTTTGTTCTTAAGTTGAATTTTGTCGGAACAGATACATTTTGTAAGTGCAACTTCAACCAAATATATATTTAGGACACCCCCCTTATATTCTGAACAATATTTAGCTTTGCTTTTACATGCATGCATTTAATAAATCAGTCTGTGCATAAGAAGAAAGGTCACATATATATATGCACACTCTAAGGGAGCATTGCAGTTAATTTTCTTGATCCATAGATGAAAGCAGCGTTTTGATGCTCTCTCCATTTTTTGGTGCCTTCATAATAAATTCTGAAGATCCTTGCTGTATGGGGATACTTGCTGCTTCACTGGCTCTAGGAAATCCATCCACATCAACATTATCATTGCTGCTTCCTCTGGAAGGTTTTTGTGTTGCAACAAGAATTTTTATTTTTCCTAGTATTTTATTAATGAAGATTGCCTGTATTGATAAAATACATATGTTTAATGAAATGGACTTTTTAAAAAATACCGTGTTTCTGGCTAACATAAGAGGTATGCTTTGGGTACTTCTACATTATAGAATTAATGCAGTTTGACACCATTGTTTAATGCTATGGAATGATGGGAGTTGTAGCATTAAAGAATATTTAGCCTTTTTAGCCAAATAGTTCTGGTGCCTCACCAAATTACAAATCGCAGGATTTCATAACATTGAGTCATGACAATTAAAGTGGTGTCAAACTACATTAATTTTATAGTGTTAATGCACCCTTTGTGATCTATTACTAGTTCTAGCAAAATACATTGATTGCAAATTATCACAGCTCTTGGTGGGATAGATTCAGATAATCATATTTTTTCTTTTGGCATTTGAAGAGGTTTGGTCTTTGAGCTGCCTGACATGAATTGAACCATTCCCAATAACAACCTTGATCCGTTTCTCTGGCCAAATTTCAGGAGTCCCCCGTATCAATTTTTGCAAGGCTCCCAAAAACGGGTGCACCACCAAACTGTCATTTTCAGTCTGCCACCGAAAAATACGGCCAGATCCAACCCATTGGCAGCAATTGGGAACCTACAACACTCCCCTTTCCTTCATTTTTGGGGCATCTGATAAGAAAATACCCTTCCTGGGACCCTTTCCTTTCTTCCTTTCAATGGATCCTGGATTTGAGAGATGGGGTTAAGGAAGCATCCTTCTTGGGACACTTTCCTTCTACCTTTTAAAGGAGCCTGGGTTTGAGGAACTGGGTTAAGGAAGCATCTTTCCTGGGATCCTTTACCTTCTAGCAGCTGCCTCCCTTCCCTGCATTCCAAAGAAATGCACAAGTCTAGTAAGAGCTTTAGATTACTCCCTTCCAGCTATCGTATCCCTTCTCTGTTTAAAAGAGATCAGGTTTATGGTAAGGGCTTAAAAATCCCCCTTCCTGGTATCCTTTCTAGGATCCTTTCCTACCTTTCAAAGGAGCCTGGATTTGAGCTCAGAGCTCACTCCCTGCAGCACGGCCACGCAGTGTGCCAAGGCATTTTAAGGAGGCTTCCCAGGGAAGAGCGATCGACCTGGAGCTATCCTACTCTGGACTTCCTTTAAAAATCCCTCTCTTTGCCCTGCCTGGAGTGGTGGCTTCCCCCCCCCCCCTCGTGCTTTCCCTTCTAGCCAAAAAGAGAGGAGGTAGCCGCAACTGGACGCCACAGGCCCGTTTTGGGCAAAAAAAAATAGTGGTTGGTCCTTTATCGTTATGATTGCCAGACCAAGCCAAACAGCCCAGATTGGCCAGAGGGAACTGACCAAATTTGTGCACAAGCCTAATGAGGAGTGGTTCCAGATGAAACTTCCTATTTCTACCGCATAATGTTATGGCACAGGGTGGTGACCTTCAGGCTGCATTCATCTTCCATTTCCTATCTTACTGTATTTTTCCTTCTACTTCTTATGCTATATACAAGTGCCCTAAATGTTAATGGCCACCACCAATGAGAAGAACAGTATGAAAATTAAAGTATCTTTTATCTGAAATGCTTAGGAGCAGAAGTGTTCTGCATTTTGGATTTCCTTTTGGATTTTGGAATTCTTGCTTGCACATAATGAGATGGGACCCAAGTCTAAACACAACATTCATTGAGGTTTCATATGAATTCTATGTACATAGCCTTAAGGTAATTTTATGCACAATATTTTAAAAATAATATAAAGGTTGTATACATCGAACCATCAAAAAGCAATGGTGTCACCATCTCAGTCACCTATGTGGATGATTTAGGAGTCTTGAATATTTCAGTTCTGGATAAGAGATACTCAGCCTGCATATATATTTCCATCTGAACTGCGACAGGATTTACAGTGTATGTTCTAGCTCCAGGGCATTTTATGATGTACTATGTTAGCCATCTTTTTCATCTCAATGCGACATTTTAAAGGGTAAGATACAAAGGTAACCATCAGTATCATTAAAAAATGAGATAAAATGTGTTTAATAAAAGCCCTAAAAGCAATTACGCAGTCATACATATATCAGCTAAGAATAACATTCTATTTGGTGAACATAAGAAAAGCAGGTTGAGAATAACAGTATTGATTAACTTACCAGAAAAATTAATGTGGCATAAGAAACACACATTACACTTGTGAGGGCAGTCTTTGCTGGGTAAGAAATGACATCGTAAAAGAACAAAGTACTATTCTGAAAAGAGAAGAATCAAGCAAGACACTCCTTGGTCACGTTGCAATACACTAACGAGCCTATTAAATCCCATTGATTAAAAAACATGAACATATCTTTGTCACTGAAATTAGTGGGAGAAACCACTTAACTTTGAATGAATTTGGTAGCATTTTAGGTAGGTTTCCAATGTTAGCACATTAGGCAGGTTCCTAGATTCATTCCCAATTATTTCAACAGAACATAAAATTGCAACCCTATTGACTTGGAAATACTCAGTGGAATTGTTTTTCTATTGATAAATAGGCATAAGGTGATTAAACAATGCATTTTTGGAAGTCATCTTTAACTCACAAAGCCTATGCCATCGTAATGTTGATCTTCAAGATGTTGTAAGCGTTTTTTGCTGCAGCAGACTCTGGTAATGATGTAGGGGAATACTTGCCCTTGGTCCAGTAATTGCTTACAACAGGGAATTACATCAGGGAATTACATAGTGATGTAATTACTTACATCAGGGAACTTTCCTATAAAGAGCTATGGCAAAAGTTCATCAGCAGCTACAGCAAAGCTAGAGCTTTTAGCATGTGGAGGGATCCCCTTCCATTGCTCTCTTCCAGTTTCCCCACCCCTCAGCTTAATATACATCTGTAATGCTCATTTGCAAAGGCATATCTTCCCATGCTTTCTGCTTTTCTGGGTGATGAGGGGTTTCATATAATTATACTGTAAGTTCCCCACTGCCAGCCTATGCTCCAAAACTCAGATAGCACATGATGGTAAACACATCTTGGTCTCCTTTCATCTTAGGTTCTTTAGAGCAGCAACTTTTAGCCCGTTTACTGTACAAAGTGCAGAGATTTGGTTGGATTACAAGTTCTTTGAAAAGCGGAGCTTCAGAAGGTGTTAAGAGCAGAGCAAAGCTTTTTCCTTCCTTTTTAGAGTAGACGCTCAGAAAATATAACTTCCAGCCAGATAAATGTTTTCACATTTGCTAGATTTTATGTTTATTGTTCATGTTTTATCTCCGAGGGACAGTGGTTGCTGTTTAATGTATCATGCTTAGAAACATGAACAGAGGCCAAAATTAGATTTTGGACCTGTAATTTCGAGGCCAGGAATGCTCCTTATCTGGAAAAACTAGACACTGTACTACTAATAGAGAAAAGATGGGCTTGGCTGTTGAAATGTAGGGTTGCATCTAGACTTTGAAATAAACTCAATTTAATAAGAACTTATGATGAGCTGGATCCAACCCAATCTCCTCAAGGCTTTTATACAGAACAGCACATAGAAAATATGACAGATAAAGCAACCCAGTTTCTTCCCTACCTTCACTCTGAATAGAGGTTTCTTGGGACCATTTAGTGTATTCAAGAGACGGCGTGTTACCATATTCAGCTCTGCCAACTTTTTAGCAAGCTGTGGCTGTATGAATGTAGCAATAGATTTTGAAGACCTAGAAATTTTAGTTAGTCCATTCCTAATGATGACTCCATGAGCTGAAGAGAATACCCTTCCCATAACTGTCCCAGATTCCTTCACGGTGCGATCACTTTGCTAAAACACAAAAGAACAACAAAAAAGTTAAGTTACTTACTATGAGAGATGTTAGAGCAGAAAAAGGCATCTGGATGCATTAAGATTGGGGGAATAGTTTAATGTGTTGATAGGTCTCTTGGTGATTTGCAGTAGCTCTTCAGGGGATTCAGAATCCTGCTATTTCAATAACAGCAGGCAAAAGGTGTGGAGTACACATCTACCATGATTGGCTTTGTATTATTGACTCTATCTCTTATCCACAGTGTTCCTGATTTGTAAAATGAATATGCATTGTTTCTTTTTGACTAGGTCTTTTCCTCCAGTCAGTTTCAGTGTTTGCTATTAGGATTTTTGGTAGCGCTGTCTTCCAGCGTTACTCTAAACACTCACTATTTCAGTAGAATAGACTAGTTTTCCAAAAGAAGGTTTTCTAAGGTACTGGGTAACAAGAAAAATGTCCTTGGAAATCCTTTTGGTGGGGAGAACTGAACTGCTGAAAGGGTAGATTGGAGGGACAACATGCGACAACCATAAATGGTAATTCATAAATCCAGTTTACAAGATTATTAATACTGAACAAGATACCAGTTCATTTGCCATCCTATCCCCTACCCACTTGCTCACCAGCTTGCCCCCCACCCCGTTCGCTTGTCCACTTCCCAGGCTTTCCTCCCTCCTGGTTTGGGCACACGGTCTCTAAAAGATTTGCGACCATTGTCCTAGGTCATCCATTCAGCAGTAGCCCCTTGTGGCATGATGGGTTAAACCCTTGTGCTGGCTGAACTTCTGACCAAAAGGTCAGCGGTTTGAATCTGGAGAGCGGGGTGAGCTCCCATCTGTCAGCTCCAGCTTCCCATGTAGGGATATGAGCGTGGCCTCCCACAGGATGGTAAAACATCTGGGCGTCTCCTGGGCAATGTCCTTGCAGACGGCAAATTCTCTCTCATACCAGAAGTGACTTGCACATTCTCAAGTCGCTCCTGATATGAAAAAAAATCCATACATTATCTCTACGTCCTCCAGGGTGACTAGAGAGAACATTTTAAAATCAAATCCCTGAATAATCAAATCCATAAAAGTCAAAACCACAAATGTGAAGGGTTGACTGTACTCAGAGATTGTTTGCCAGTTTCTTCCTCTGAAATCTAGCCTACAGCAGAAATTTTGGATAAATGAAAAATGCAACTTTTTTTACAGGCCATTTCATAAATACAGCAAACATTCAAATAACAAAGAAATAAAATGGTTGAGAAACTTTACCTGGTTTGAACTTGTTAGTCTCAGTAAGTTTGGAAATTCATCCCTAATCTCATCTATGATTTCCAAGAAGGCTCTCTGTATCATCTCGGCTGAATTGAAAAACCATGGTTAAGTGAATAAATACAATCTTCTAAATTAGACTTCATGTCAAATGATAATTGATATTTTTAGAAAAGGCAAAAGGACATGAACCATCCAGTAAGCGATCTGTGGGAATAGCACACCATGTTCTCTTTAACCACTATTTGGAAATGAAAATCCCAATGTATCCAATGTAGATAGTGATATGTCATTATTTGGGGAAGGGGAAAAGAAACATCATTCTAGCAGCTTTCCCTACCTCTCTGTATTTTAAGTTGGCAGATGAATGCCTGGGTCTAGCCTTGAGTTATAGAGGCAGAGATTTTTACATACACTTTTCTCCCAGTGGAGATGAAGGTAGATCAGCTTAAAACCTTAAAGACATGGAGAATTCTTGTTTAACCTCTTGTCTTGTGCGGAAACAGCAAAGGGTTTCTGTGTATGTATTTCTGTGCATGGTGTGTGTGTGTGTGTGTAAGAATGAGTATGAAGGCAAAGCAATATCCTTGGCATCTAGGATGTAATAGAGTCATACCTTGTCCAGCAAATTTTCTCACCATCTCCCCACAGATCCATCCAATTGGCCTGAGAGTCATTTTGTACGTTCCTCCCTTCCACTCCTTAAATGAGTATATAGTGTTTCCTAATTAAACAGGCCTTTCAGGCCACAAATGGCAGTATCCCATACACACTCATATCTCCACCCTCAAGGCAGGAAACCTTTATGAGGACACAATGTGCTCTCTGAGGCATTATACCTTGCTTGACTCCAGTGTGTCAGTGTGCACAAGAAAACTGCCTCCCCTTCAAACATTATAGCCCCAAGAGGCAAGAATCTGAAATGTATGACTGTAGAATGTTAGAACACATAATTTATGAGATTCTTTCTATACTATTAGGAAAGAACCACAAATTCAGTAGTTTTGTTGAAATTTATAGCCATCAAGAGACTAATTCAAAACCTTGAGTTAATAAAAGCTTAATAGCAGAGGGTAGGCTGGTTCCTGAGGTGTACAGATTTTTTATTTTTTCAGCATTCTGTTCAGAACAAGTAAGATGCTCGAATCCACATTCCCTTCAGTTATAAAATGCAGTATAGAACAACAATTAGATATTAAATGTAGGAGTCTTATTTAAAGAAACTCAGAGATAAATCATGTGTCTTGTTTGCCCTCAGTTTTTTGATTTATGGAATTCATGTGTCAAATTTCTGCTCCTGAAGATTGTATTTCATCAGTGGTTGTGTATAATATTTTTATGCCTGAGTCCAATATGATGCAGCTCTCTCCCCATTCCACATATAAAGGAAAATGCACCAGCCATTGAAAGAGACTTGATGGGCAATGAGCAGAAGACACAGTTCTGTGCACAAGATCTGCTGCCCAAGGAAGCCACTCCTCCATCTCAAAACCTTGAGTGAATACCTTGAGCCAGCCCTGCCTTCTATTTTTTATTATTTCTGGGTCTGCAGTGAACCCTGTCCTTCTTTTGACATATGGGAATCACTATCCATTTGGTCATATTTTAAAATATTCATCATTAGCATCCTGAGAAAGTGTGTTATTGTTTTCATTCTGAAAGGGTCTTTGAGCGAAATTTGCAGATATTAAGTAAGAGGCTTTAAATGAAATTAACAGCAAAAGAGAGACATACCCTTTCTCTGACTTAAAAAGAGCAATATGGAAGAAAATGTTTTTTAAGAAACAAGATGTGACATGTAGAAGGTACTTCTTACACAGAATACTTTGTGGCTAACTTCAAAGGTTTTTTTTTTTGAAGCGCAGAGGCCGCATGTACAAGAAGGTACTTTCCATCAAAAGGTCAATTATTATTCACAAAAGGTGTTTTCCCTATGCTTTTTGTTTGTAATGGGCTATAAAGTTTGCAGATTTCAAGGGAAGAGCACGGCAGTCATTTGAAGGGTAACATCTGTGCATGCTGCCCGGCTGTCCATCTTCTTCATGAAGAAACTAAAATAAAACCTTGGTTTTTTTTTTATCTTTCATTGGGACTGTCTCCTTCCTTTCGTGCTCCTGCAACGTGGACCTAAAAAGACCCAATTTAGGGTCTCTAACAATTCCATACAAATCCTGTCCCTAGATTCCTATTAGGCTTGGGCTTGAATCAGTTTGAATTAAAATTATTTGTAATATTCAGTTGTCCATTTCATACAATCTCCGAAAATTGGGAGGAGGGAGCCGAAAAGCCTGACAAAATGAATTAAGAGAGTCAGATTTTATCACTACTAGAGAGGATATATACCTGAGGCAGGGGCTGCTGGAGGCTACTGTAGAAGACAGGATTATTGCCGCATCTTTTCTCCTTCCTTGGCAGCAGCAGCATCCATCTATTCATTTTTTGAAAGTTTCCTTCTCCAGAGAGGGCTTTGCTGGGAATTCACTTTCTCAGCAGAACTTGCATGGGGCAGGCATTGAAAAGTCTCTGAGTTCCTCTCAGAGCATGATGGGAGTTGAAGTTACAATTCTCAGAACCCTCTTTTGTGGCTTATCTTATTTAAAAAAATGTTATGGTTAAAACTTAAAACAATTCTAAAAAAAATCAGTAGATTGATGAATTGTTTTGAAACTTGGCAGGCCTGCAGTTGTAAGTGGGATCTATAACCAAGGTAGGTTTCATGCAGATAGGCCTGAAAATGACTGAGGATTGAGCATTGAAAATTTCTCTTTGTAGCCAATGGGCCAAATCTTTGCTGAATTAAAATGGCAACACCCCTTCCGATTCCGATTGGCCTTATTTCATGCAATGGTCTTGTTATTCCTGGGGTTAGACAATAAATTAAATCTCTTGCTCTTTTATTTTATAGTCCATGTATTACAGTATGTTATTATTCTACCCAGGATGTCTCTTGGGATTTTTAGACTGTATCTGATAAAACCTGTTTTGTAAAGTACCTTGCCAGAAAACATAATGAAAGAGCATTTATAAATCCTTTGGGGCCTCTCTCATACAGCCTTCCCCTAAGGCCTAGGAACAAAAGGGGTTTCATAGTGCCAGGTTATTCGTTAACACTTCTCACATACAAAAACAAGTTCTACAAATGGTGACCTTCAGACAGACATTACTACCCCAAATTTCAGAATTCTTGTTCGGAAGCTTTTTTCTGAAAGCAAACTTGGCAGTATTATGTTGGCATGGTCTTGAAAATCTGAATGCATTTTAATTAAAATTCCAAAGTTTGGACAAGCTGTGTCCTTTTAAAGCTAAATGGGTGTAACTTTGGCTTAAATCCAAGTATTTTGGCTAACTTGACTTGTAGAGTGGACTGTTAGTATGCTAATTGAACCTGAATTGTGCTTCAGCCACAAAGCAGAGCTTGGGCAATAATAATAGAAAACTGGTACATGGTGTTTCTTGTTGTCAGTAGCAAACAGCTTTAAAATTTCACCCGAGTTTTCTGATGTGATGGAAAGGTCTTTAAATTATTTGCTTGCTTATTGAGGGCACAGCCAAGCGGATGGGAGAACATCATCATTCAATCAGTCTTCCCTATGTACATGCACAATGCATACCTAAATGTCCTGTCCATAGGCACAACATAGCATCATTCCATTTAAATTATCATAGTACAGACTGCTGATTTAATCTAGAGATTAAGGCTGGATCTACACTGCCATATAATCCAGTTTCAGAATATAGATGAACTGCTTTGAACTGGATTTTATACGATTTTATGCATTTATAAAACTGGATTGTGCAGCAGAGTAAATGGGTCTTAGCTAATAGCTATATTAAATGTTTTTGGGTGTGCTTAATCCATTAGTTTGCTTCTGATTTATCATTCTAAAATGTGGTGCTGATCAACTACATAGGAGTCCTAGTAGTCCATTTTTACCTGAGCATTTAGGGCAGTGGTTCTCAACCTGTGGGTCCCTGGGTGTTTTGGCTTACAACTCCCAGAAATCCCAGCCAGTTTACCAGCTGTTAGGATTTCTGGGAATTGAAGGCCAAAACATCTGGGGACCTGCAGGTTGAAAACCACTGTTTTAGGGAATGCTACAGAAAACATACCCTTACCCACAATAACCAAAACTGTTTCTAATATTTAAAAATGTATTTTTTAAACATAGCTTTCCATGGGTAATAAGAATTTGTTAGAAGATCATATTGGTCCACTTGTTCTGATGGCTCAGCAACTTATTGTGTTGTTTACTTTCCTATAGTTCTAACCTGTGGTCTCTGAACTTTAAACTGGCTAGTTCTCTCTGCTATCAGGTTAATCAGTCCCTTTTAAAGTGTATTTCTTTTTGTTCCTCACATACTTACTGAGCTGCTTTTAGAACATGAGTGCTTTAGTCTGTGTACTGGCGGCTGTTTTCTAATGAAAACTACTTTTTTATGGTGAGCTTCATGTTCCCTGTTGGTTTGATTTAGTTATTATTGTATTCTAGATTTACATTAAGCACCTTTCTTAAAATGCACACCATGGCTTTTATATACATAGTTTAAATAGGATGCCTAGGACCTTGGAAGGAAATACAAACTTAGAAACAAGTGTCCAGTTACTCTTCCACAAATATGTTCTCAAAACCTGAGGAAATGCAGTTTTAATTTGTGCTCATGGAAGGATCTAGATTTGAGGGTGTCCTAGACATAGTGACCTCCGTCTTACAGCCTTGGATTCCGCTTAGGGTGGTGCTGCTCCTTTGATTGTCTTCTAGTGGCTGCCATTTCAACAGTTCATTTGAGTCATACAATACAGAGCACCTTACAAAAACAATGGCTTAAATGTGCTGACCATCTGATAATGGAAATGCACGGAAAGTATTTGAATTGGTGGGTCTTCCTGCTAGGAGGCTAGGCTCTAGTAGCCCCTGGAGTATAACAGTTCCAATGAATGCTCTGTAACACAGATGGGCAGTGTGTCCCTTCAGGTGTAGCTGAATTATATTCCCTATCAGCCTTCACTAATGCTGATCAATGGTTGGAGCTGCAGTTCAATAACATCTGGAATGCCTGGTTTTCTCAACTATTCCATACAGAATGTTATTTCATATATGTAAGCTACCAATACAATAATTGCTGTTTTTAGCTTTTACCAAGACATTGGCTTAATAGATAGGGCAAAATAGTTTTAGATGGGCATTTTTGATATTAATAAGGAACATGAAGTTTGTGACTATTTTAGTTTTGTTTTAATACTGTCTTTTTTTAAATAAATGGGTCTTATTGAAGTTTGTTGATATGTGTTGTTTTTGGATGATACAAGACAAACTGTTTCTGGCTCTGAGCTCGAAGGGATTTTAGGTCAACCTCCGTATACGAATTAAAACACAATGTACTGTGACACAATTTTGTATTGGTTTTTTTGAGGTTGTCAATGTACAAGTCAAGAAATTGTTTTCTTTGGGTAATATAACAAGTTTGCTTGTCCCATTCCTGGGCCTTCTTTATCATCTGTAATTATCACTGCAGTTTTATTTATTTAATTTCATGTCAAAAGCACTGCATAAATAAATAAATAAATAAGTATAAAACTGATAAAATAAAGGAAGCACAAGCAGCTAAATAATTTTAGACCAAAAGCTGGCAACACCGACCACACTGTCTGTAACTTCAAACAGTTCTTCCTCTGCGC